GGGGGGGGGGGGGCTGGGGGGCAGCAGGAATTTGCCCCCCCCCCCGAACTTCCCACGGCTACGCTACTGAGCAGAGCTGCAAATAGAGTAATGGAGTGAATACATCATGTGCACACCTCAGCTCTCTCTATTTTGGCTCTCTGCAATGCCCCTTCCCGAGAAAGAAATTTGAAAAAAGGGAAAGGAAGGGAAGGCACAAGAAACCGCAAAAGGAGGAAAGCAGATGAAAATGACGCTCAAACTTTTCCCATGTTTGCACGCCCATGCAGGTTTCTACCTGTTCATAGAAGCATCCTATCACTACAAGGACGACAAGGCCAACCTCAACAGTGAACACTTTAACCCCACCGACAAAGCCTGCTTCCAGTTCTGGTACCACATGCTCGGAAAGGGTAAGGGTCAGAGGTCATGCTGTAGCAAGGGCTCAAAGGGCCTTGCACACGCATGTGAGATACAGCACAACCGTAGACAGTTCTTGTCCTTGTTACGGTCGTAGTTGTAGTCCATCACAAGTCATCTTGTCACAAGCCAAGGCACAAGCTGTTCAAGTGAACTGTGACAAAAGCATTGCTGTTTCATTCTTCATCCTGATACTTGCGAGATCCTGGACTTAACCCCTTCACGGCGACTTGACTACAGCCCTAGTTCTGTGGTTTGTGCTCTAGTTCTATATGAACTTGACTAAAATCCTGGTTCTGGTCATTTATGGACTCCATTTCAGCAACAGTACATGTACACTATAAAAAAGTTCATGATGAAGTCTGATTTTAAAAACTAAAATGCTATCTCTGACTGATGGGCCATCTTTTGGTTGGCCCCCTTTCACCTCAGGCATCGGCGAGCTCGTCGTGTACGTGCACGACGCCGTCTCCGACGTCGCCGAGGAGAAGCTGACCATCAGCGGTAACCAGGGCGACGAGTGGCACACTGCCCAGGTGGACATCTCCAGCCAAAAGGTCTTCTACCTGATCATGAGCGGGGTCATAGGTCACAACTACACCAGCGACGTGGCCATCGATGACCTGAACTACATCCCTGGACAGAAGTGCATCCGTAAGTGGCGATGTCCAACGTCTTTTCAACCTGTCTGGTAACCACTTGCCAATGGTAGTATTCTGGGGCTCACGTGACCCATGCATAATATTATTTTAAGCTAAAAAAAAAGCTTTTTCCCAGTGAGCGTCTGCCCTTTACAAAGTTGGATTTCACAGATGATGACCCGTGGACCCGTAGTCATTTTTACAAGATTTCCGTGTATACCATTTCAAAAGTGTGACCCAGTGTCAAGAGCGGTATTACTTTGCTACAATGCCCAGCCTTTTCCCGTAGCCACTTAGGGGCTTCATAAACGCTCAACCTCCATGACTAGTTTGAGCCTCCCAGTGTGTGCACAAACTCAGCGGGAATCACCCAAACATGGAAACCAGTATAGATGTCACACACCCCCCACAGGAAACCACCTGAACTGCACTTTCGAGACGGACATTTGCAGCTACATCCAGGTGCCATCACCCGACGACGATTTTGACTGGACGAGGGGGTCAGGCGAGACCGCGAGTCTGAACACCGGCCCAGGATACGATCACACCTACGGGGACAAGACAGGTGAGTTGGTCCAAAATGTGACCTGGCCTAACAAAAAGGTATCACGAAGTTGCCACCTGTAAGTTTTAAAAAGGTTTTTAACAGATTTATGCATATAATGTGTAGGTTTGATTGTAGCTTTGATTATTTGACGGCAGGGCCAACATGTAAAAATAAATTGCATCGTAAAGAGCTATACGTGAGTAACGTGGTAGCCATGTTGCAGGGCAGTTCGTATGTTTCAGAGGGAAACCTTCTCGCAAACACTGTGGAACACAAGCACTGGCCTGCAGTATGGCGGCCACGCAAACCCTTTATATCACAGGTTTCAGCACCGTTCAACAAATGCTTCGTGTATCACCCATTGGACAAGTTAAAAAAAAAATGTTAGTGGCTGCTTGGGTCCTACTATATCCCTCCAACACAAACCTTGCCTTGTCCAAAGGGTCTTTCTCTTCAATACTTAAGGAGTTGCTATACCTGAAGGTAAGGTTCATATGTCCAAG